AAACCCTAAACCCTAAGTCCACTGCTGAATTCTAGGCCTCCTGCCCTCCTCCTAGGCTTCGGCCGTGGGGCCAGAGCAGCTGGTGCGCGTGCTCTGTGTTTGTAAACCCTAAACCCTAAACCCTAAACCCTAAACCCTAAACCCTAAACCCTAAACCCTAAACCCTACACCCTTGACTGTTGGACGCCTGGGGGCTCTTCGCAGGATGGCCAGGCGGTTTAGGGGGGGGGGGGGGAGGGGCCTTATAGGGAGCTTAGGGAGCCTTAGGGAAGCTTAGGGAGCCTTAAGGAGCCTTTAGGGATTCTTGGGTTCCATACCCCCCTTGAACCCTCCTTCCCTTGAGAACCCTAGATGGAAAGTGTTTTTTGGGGTGTATGTTTTCGCCTGCATCCTTGGGTTCGAAGTTCGGGTGGGGGTCGCGTCTCGCAGAAATCGTCCGTCGCCTTGCTGCTAGGCATACAGTGCGAAACGAGCCCCCTCAGCCCAAAAAGGCCTAAAACCTAAACCTTTTGCACGCTACATCATCCTAAGCCCTAAGCCAGAAGCTCTAAACCCTGACAACCCTAAAAACCTTAAAGACCCTAATACCCTGAAAAACCCTAAAAGCCCTAGGCCCTAAACCCTAAACGCCTTCCTGCGGCCGTTTTTGCTCCTCAAGAGGATACCTGTTGGGAAGGACAAGGGAATGCACAGACGAGACCGCCGTGAGCCCATGGAGCAACTCGCAGCCGTCACCTATGTCATGAACGGCCAAATGCCGCCTCCTGGCCACAGATGAAAGGGTTTTGGAGTCTACTATATGGGGGGTTCCGAAATTAGGGATACCTTCTTTGGGTCCTTCTCATGAGGGAGTCCCAGGAATTGGGGTTCCATAATCGGGGTCCGTTATTGTCGTAAACTCCGATATGGGGGGTTTCCGACAATGGGGGTACCCTTTTTGGGGAGGATTCAATTCTATTTGGGGTATAAAAGGGGTACCCCGGTATTTTGGGAAATATATGGACTCAAAAGGGAACCGAACTTAGAGAAAACTAGCCATGAAGGGATTGGGAATTTAGGAGGCCAGGAGACTCCGCGTTCCGGCGAAGGGTTTTGGTTCAGGTTGAGGGAATGGAAGGACCAGCAACAGTTAGCCCGCACCGACAGTTGAGCCATGAACCGCTCCATGCTTCTCCTCGTCATATCGTAGGATGCATGTGGGGTAGTGCTCTCAGCGAGGCTTATGGCAATGCCCGACATGAAGACGCCACCTGCAGGACGCGGCATTGCAGCTAAGACACCCCACCAGCAACCTAAACCCTAAACCCCTAAACCCCTAAACCCCTAAACCCCTAAACCCTAAACCCTAAACCCTAAACCCTCAACCCTCAACCCTCAACCCTCAACCCTCAACCCTAAACCCTAAACCCTAAACCCTAAACCCTAAACCCTAAACCCTAAACCCTAAACCCTAAACCCTAAACCCTAAAGCCTAAACCCTAAACCCTAAACCCTAGACCCTAAACCCTAAACCCTAAACCTCAACCCTACCAAGCAGTGCATCTCAAGGCAAGGGACTTCGCTACTGCCCCCCCCCCCCCCCCCCCCCCCCCCCTTTTTTCGTTCCTCGAGACCGGGACAAGCAAGACAGACCTCAAGCCTCCGTCCCTGGGACCTGGCAAAAAGAGGTCTAGGGTTCGGGGTTTAGAGTTGAGGGTTTCAAGATTTCCGGGTTTCAGTGGTTTGATTAGCTATTTGGTCCTGAGCCCAACACCATCGCAACGAACAGGAGGAGAGAACTACTGCGAGGATAGCAACTGGGTGAGCGCCGGCTGGTATTCCCAACCATACGAGGAGTGCACCTACGAGCATGCAGGCCGCTTTTTGGCATCTGGGGTTAGAGCCTACGACCCCGTGGAACCCCGAAACGAGGATCCACCCAGGATGGTCAGCCGTCTTTCGTTGCTTTCAGAGCATTGAAGGTTGCAGGGTTAACGAGAGTCGTGTCTAGATGAGCTTCGCGTTGAGGAATTGGCTCCTAAACCCAGCGCATGTTGCTCTGGGAACGAGAACCCCTTGCAGAGTTCGAGGCCTCTCTCAAGCTGCCTCATATAAACCCTAAACCCTAAACCCTAAACCCTAAACCCTAAACCCTAAACCCTAAACCCTAAACCCTAAACCCTAAACCCTAAACCCTAAACCCTAAACCCTAAACCCTAAACCCTGCCTTATATTTTGGGGCAACTTGAAGCCCTTGGTAGAACACCATCTGACAACAGAGATGACATCCTGGGGCTTTCTTGGCAGAAGACCCGTATATCCCTTAAAGCCCAAGGTTATGGCCGGGGGTCTGAGTGGAACGCGGGACACTACGACTACGAAGATGCAGAGGACCACCCTACACCCTAAACCCTAAACCCTAAACCCTAAACCCTAAACCCTAAACCCTAAACCCTAAACCCTAAAACCCTAAGCCACATTCTACCGCGCCATGCGGGGGGTTTTGGGGGTGCTCTTGGGA